GCGAGCTCTCCATCTTGTCCAAGTCGTCGGCTGGTGAGTGCCGAGCGCTGCCCAAGCCCAGAGAGCCTCCGTCCAGCTCAAACTTCTCCAGCAAGGGGCTGCTCTGGCTGCCCAACTGGGCTGGGGCCAGCCCGCGGCCGGGGCCAGCGTAGGGGTCCTTGTCCAGCACAGGGACGCCGGCAGGGCTGCTGTTTGGGAAGTGAGTCAAGCCAAGGCGAGCTGGGCCAGCCCCAGGGCTCAGGAGGGTCTGGCCTGATTTCAGGGTCAGCCCGAGGGAGACAGAGATTTTATCTGTGCCCTGCAGGGCCTCCGACTTGATGGGGACTGGGAGCCGCTCAGGGCCGCCGGCAGTGAACTGGCAGGGAGACGTCTTCAGGCAACCGTCCTCCAGCTTGGGCTTGACATCGGCAGGCAGTGCACCCGCCTTCACCTCCAGGCCCTGCGTCTTGAAGGTCGGGTCAGGGGCCAGCGCGGTGCCTGGTGGGACAGGAGCAGGCGTCAAGCCCACCCCCACCACCAGCCCTTCCTTGGGTGCTTCTCGATCCTCCGCAGCTGGGGCCATGTCCTTGCTGTCCCCGGGGTCAGGGAGCTTCAAGCTGGGTACCGATGGCTCTGTCTTGAGCTGGGCCTCACGCTCGGCCTTCTCGTTAGCCGACTCAACCAGGCGGAGGTGCTCGTTGAAGATGTCCTTCTTGTCACCGGTGTCCAGCTCAGGGTCCGTGTAGGCCAGCAGGTCGAACTCGTCGCCGTTCAACAGGTCGTCAAGGTGGGGGTCTGCCGTCTCCAGGCTGTCCAGGTTGTCCAGGTCGTCGTCCCCTTTAGCCACGTCGGGGTCCAGGCTCAGGTTGGCCAAATCGTCATCGTCTTCCAGGTCCTTGTGAGAGCCGAAGTCGTCATCCAAATCAGGCTCTACTGGGACCTCGCAGGGCAGCCGCCCTCCTTCCAGGCTCAGATGGCTCTTGCCCGGAGCCGGAGCTGGCGCAGGGTCTGGCGCAGGGCTGTCCTTGGGGCCCTCGGGGCGGAGGGCAGTGCTGGAGGCCAGCGGGCGCGGGGGAACATGCTGCAGCTCCAGGCTGGGC